CCTTACGTTACTTTTGACTTCATTAAAACATACCATTATCGTTTCTTCGAAGTGTTGATCGCTATCATGTACATTACTTTCATGACCCCGCCATACAGATACTTTGTAGAATTTATAACATAAACAGACATCCACCGTGTAACGACTTGGTTGAACTAAAAATTGTTTCTCTTTCAAATACTTGCAATGCATGGCAAGAAAAAATTCATTTGTTTGGTCTAGGTAAACTGCTAAGCGTGAAGGTGAGTTTATTTTGAAATTACCAAAGATTTTTAAATAAAAGTCTCAAAGATAGCGTATGAATAATAAAGTGTTTGGATACATAAAGCACGCGATTGATACTTGACAAAATTTGCAAACAACAGAACATTTAATATTTAATTCAGTGTTCTTTGATTAAATTACATTTCGCATATATTTTGCCATAAATTCAACAAATATTTCATGCAGTACCAGGCTAGTTTATTTCATCATCACTGCTTTCAGTATAGCGTTTTAAGATATGCTGTTATATTTCTTTTTTTCTATTTTCCAGTTAATTCTTTACACGTTCGATAGGATTTGAGACTGGAGAATGTTGAGAAATGTTGATAACTTCAGGGCGGTCGAACATTTAAAACTATATTTTGAATCATTTTCATGGTAGAACTTGAATGCATTGTTTTGGGCACATTTTTTTTTTTTTTTTTTTTTTTTAAATTTTATTTTTAATTTCTGTATTTTTATGCTACTCCATAGAAATGCCTACAGGCTCAGGTCCCTATTGTTTTAGAAGGTGCCATATATCATTGAGCAAACTACTTTCATCCACCTCCTCCTACGGTACACCCAGCGATTGTGGCGTACTGTACTTCGGATCTGCCTGAGGGCTTGATCCGAAGTATTTTTGATTCGGATCAAGCCCTCAGGCAGAGAATTAATATACTTGGAAATGCTGCTCTCAATGCTGAAAAATTGGGTGTAGTTTTGAATGTGAATCCATATGCAAAAGCTTACAAGAGACTGAAAAAAAAAAAAAAAAAAAAAATTGCAGAAGAAACTCTACGAGAGTAAGTTGATGAAACTGCTGCTGCTATCCATATGTGTATCAAAGGCGAAAGTGGTTGTTTACAGGTGATTCTGACTCGAAACTGATAACATTTAACCATAACAACCATAATAAATAAACTGGCAGGCTGCGATTTAGCCATCAGGGATTTAGGCAATCTCCGAGTAACTGGATAGACACATGAAAGAACTCTAAGTAAACTGCATCAATGCAGTAATTCAGAGTTCAAAGTATGAAGATGAAAACGGTTAAGAAAAATGAGTTCTTACCGAAGAGAGAATTATACAGCATGTATAAGCAAACTATGAAGCTATTTTTAAAAGCACACTCTCAGATATCAGTACCATAGTTATATGATTTGATCGTTTGTCTACCATATCCTTTGAGATGTTTTTTAAAAAAGAAAAGAAACAGTCATGATAATATACATACCCTATCTGTACAAAGTGAAACATTATAAGATGAAATATTATACAGTATAAGATATAAACACTATAAGATGAAATATTATACAGTTTCTAAAAAATAAATGATATATGTAAACTCTGAAGTATCCATTTTGCTGATTTTTTTAAAAATATTTTTTAATTATTATTATTATTATTATTTTTTTTTGTGATATCCATCAATCAAAAAGGTTATTTATTATGAGATGGCCACTCTGATTTTCTGGAATTTATCCAAGTACTTTATGCACTATTGTACTCATCAGTCTTCATATTCGAAATATAACCGTTCTGTGACTAACCCTTCTGAAACTGCCCAGTGTTTCTGAAGATATAAACAAACACTGGCACTAAGTATCATTTGAACTAAGATAGCCACCTCCACTGAAGACCAAAATCATCTGAAACTGTGATCGTCCATCAGGGATAGAGGTTAGTGACGCTGACTGCCGTACCGTGGGGCCCAGATTCAAATCTCGGAGAAACCATGGATGTTTTAAAATGTACAGTGTCTGTGCGGCATGTGGCCACTCTAAATATGCGGCGATCCGAAAGTTCTAGCGAGAGGTTGGTGATAGGGGAAGAGGGGTGGGAGATCCTCGGACCCTTTTCACGGGGGTGCTCTCCATTACAATTGGGGGGGGTGGAACTGAGCACAGTCCTTCTGTGACCTGTATGTAATTCAAGGCTCTTCCAACGATAGGCGCATTCTTGCACTTATCGCGATGAATTTCGTGGGCTTCTGATGTTACTGTCTGACAAGTGAGATAAGTTACAACAACATACCTTTTCCGTAATGATATCTGAAAGCTTTTATATTGCCCTTATTAAAGAATGTTAGAAGCTGTGTTTGCAGAAAGAGACACTAATATCCTTCAAAAAAATATCACAGGTGTTTGTGTTGCTTAGTTATGTAATTAGTAAAGCCATTTTCATTTTTCGTCAATTCGGTGCCCATTTAAAAAATTATCAGTAAAAATAATACTTGACATGCATGAGTTTTTGTTGCTGTGGTAAAGTCAGAAGTAAATACTTGACTCCTTTCATCAGACATCGAGGTTTCTGCTTTTATTAATAAGCAGTGCTGTCTTCTTAATTGTTGGGTCCAATACAAATTGCACATTAATAACACAAAAACTTATTCCTTCAATTTTTTTAAACCAACTGCTGTTTCACTTTTAAATATTAATGTATGTTCTGAAAATGTTATCTAACGTTATCCGTTTTCATCTGTATTATAAATTCCGTGTGGCTTGTATCCATTTAACAGCCCAAGTAATATATCTTTTATCCAATTTATCAGCTTCGTGGTGATCTGTTTCTTCCTTCTCACATGATAGTTTCTGTTAGAAAATGTTGAATTTCTCTCTCTCCAACTTGTAAACCATCTGTCAGCTGATGCAATATTTTCTTTTAGCTTAAGCGAATTAGTGAAAAATATTCTAGAAATAGAAATTTTTTTTTTAATTTTATAGCTTGACATCATTCTATAAAAGCAATTTCAGCGTCTTTTGATTGATTTGCTTCCTTGAAATATTTTTTTTTTAGTTGTTCATTAATTAAAATTCTTTATTTAATTAAATTGCGCAATGATGTTTAGGAAATTCTCAGTTCAAATATTGTTTTCTGTGGCTGTAATTACCATAACCATTAAAAATCCTTGAACAATTTATTCTTTTCTTTCGGGCTTAAGACTTTTTCCTTGACATTTTCGGCATGTTACAGGTTTAGTACGCAACAAATTCAAGAATTGTTTCTTCCAGTGATGTATACAAATTTCAAAACTTACGTTTCTAAGAAGCAGAAAGATTGCCCTTTGTTTGTTTAGTCGATCTATCGTTTCTTGTTTACAAACATGACCCATGCTTTCCTCACTTCTTCTTCAGCTTACAATTACCATCTTCTTTCCATTTCAAGAATCTTATAATGTACGGTAATGCTAAGAAGCATTTAGTGAACTTTTTTATGACTCCCTATGAACATAGTGTATCTATCCCGAAGGAAGATTTTGAATGTGGAAATCTTAAATGGCGGGCTACAGAAGTTGCACTTCCAGCTCGTATTCCAGAAGAAATCCTCGCTTATTTACAGAGCCTCTACTCTAGGTGATTGTTTTTGTTAACTTTATGATATAGGGTTATTCTGCCTTTCTGAAGTCTAGTGCAAACAAAGAACTCTAAAACAGTGTCTGCCAGACACAGGGACCGCGAGGTAAAAAAATATCAATCAAACCCGTTTTATTGAAGCATTACATACCTGAACGATAAAGCCATGGTCCATAATACGTTAAATGGATGAACTACAAAAAGCTGTCATAAGTATGATATTCTGGCACTGAAGAATCAGTGTTTTGCCAGTCTGAATTTAATAAGCGGCGAATATGAGTTTAATAAATGGCGGTTTTTCTATTGATTAGTATGCATTTGGTTTGGTTTCTAGAAATTTGAATGTAATAAACGACTGAGTATATGAACCAGCAAGTTTAATAGGGACCCGTTACTATATTTCTAATGCATCAAAAATATTATCATGGCTGTATGAAGGGAAATTAACAAAACTGATGACAACTATATTTACAGAATCCGAGAATATTTACAGAATGAGCAGCTACAATCCCCGTATATTGCATTGAGACGATTTTATAAATTTATACCTAAAATGGAATGTAAATCATTCCAAGCCGAGGATGGAGGGAATGAAGAACTTGCCTTATGAAAATGCAGGGGACTCAAATATAGAGTTATAAGTACTATTGTGAAAGTGATAGAGAAAATAATGAGCACTTTTGACGATACGGTTCCGATATGCACTTTTTTACGTTTTTTAGAATTATTTCTTGGATCATTTTACAACGTTAACAAATCAAATTACACTTTGTAAACTGTCTATAATAATTCCTTTTTTCTGGGAATAACTTTTCAAAACACAATCGATTTGACGCATTTAAGATCTTAAATTGAAAGTTTTCTAAATTGTTATTAAACTCTGGAGTCACTGCATTATTTTTAAATTTGAATTTCTACATTTTTTTAAGGCACATTCGATAATATGAAAATATACAAACAAAATACAAAATATACTACTATACAAAATATACTACTATAAATTGTATTAAAGATTTTTAGAATGTAAATCAAATTATATGTATATATAATTACTTTGAATTTTGAAAGAATTGTTACGAGTTTTGATAAAAATTTCAGATAATTCATTATGATGTTTTATTTTACAATGCTCAAATTAATATCATTATAGCGTTGTTGTTAAATGTAAAAGATCATGTAACAGTTTTTATTGCTTTCATAAACGAATTCTGACATTAAATGTTTAAAACAAACACGAAAGAAACTCCTTTTAAACTACTAAATCAAATATTTTAAATTATTTTAAAATTAAGTTGTGTTATGTATAAAATTTCCGTTACTGAATTCATTATTTAGCTAACTCTTTTTCCAAAGCAATAAAAATGTGGTATATTGTTTACGTTGCTATTCATTCACACCAAATATGTATCTTAAAATATTTTATTAAGATCTTCTGAAGGACATGAAACATAAACATATTTATAACATACATTCTTTTAAATAATGGCTATAAAAGTAAAGCGACTTTGGCAAGTAACAGAAATTTAAACATTTTTCTTTATCCCTCAAAGTGAGGGGCCACAACCAGCTTTCCAGACTTCACCCTGAGCAAGTGTTCCAAGCTTATGTACTATACATTCTATTGCATATGAGAAAAATCTTTGGGCTGCAGCAAGAAAAGACAGACTGCACTGGATGTCACTTTACATTATTGTTAAATATGAAGCTAGATTATCATACACGATTGTCAAGAGCATATACTGCAACAGCTTTCTTCTCCGATCAGTAAGGAAGACCTAAAAAAAAAAAAAAAAGGAATATTTAATTGGAGATTAAAAGGCTTTTCATTTAAAATTGTCTAATCTATGCCGATACTTAAGACACATTAAGTAGATGTTAGATGAACATTAAAAGTGAGTTGTAGTAGCAGTTTAAGTGCAAAATTAGTTTATGCTCTTTTTCTTTAAATCACTGATAAAAGGGAACTTTGAAATAAAGGCATAAAGAATATATTTCTTCAGACACATTTAATGTAGTTCAAAGATTAGGAAGATTCCATGTAATGCGTTAAGTCTAGCCTCATGAAAACGCAAGTATTTTCTTCTTCTTCTTCTTTTTTTTTAATCACTTCAGATTAAATTATAGAAGGCCTATTGCGAGGTAGTTCTATCTAAGGTAACTTTTAACCCTGAAAAATCACACTTATGTGAGTGAAAGTAAACAAGCCCGAGTCAGTACAATACTAAAGGGGTATTCTAAAAGAATTGCTAAAAGAGCATTTTGTCTTGATGTATTCAAGTTAATACATATTATCTAGAATATTTAATTCTATATAAATCATAATACAGATTATCACATTATTCGCTTAACAAGAATATTTTGCATTTATTAAATATCCATTTATTTATTATTTTCTACGAATGGCGAATTCGACATTTTGCTTTGTCACTCAAAAATTAAAACTGCTGCTGTGATTAAACAACACTTACCTATAACACTGCTACGAATCTTAGTAGTGAAAGGCCTTTGCATAACCCAATCCATGTCCATATGCAGCATGACCGTAAGGACCATGACCATAAGCACCATGGCCGTAGGCTCCATGTCCATAAGCTCCGTGTCCATAGGCTCCAACACCATGAGCTAAAGCTCCAGCATGTCCAGCGTAGCCAAGGTGTGCGGGAGCTGCTGCATAGACGGGGGCAGCAACGTGAGCAGCGTAAGCTACAGGTGCGACATGTTTAATAGCGGCTGGGGCAGCGGGTCCAGCATAGGGGCTGGCGATGACTGCAGCAGCAGGAGCACTGGCAGCGGTTCCAGGCTCATTAGTTTTGATGGCGGCACGGAATCCATGATGGTCAGCAACGTATTCAACACGCCTGGCTCTACCATCAATGTCGTGGATAGTGTAAGCCCCCTTCTTGTTTCCATAACCATCACCAACTTCATATCGGCCATTGCTTGCTCCTTTCCCGTCAACAATGTCGTAGTTGAAAGCATAATTTCCAAGAGCCTGTCAATAAATAACATAATTCATACTAGAAAAAGATGTATAACTTTATGAGTAGTCAGAACGCAGCTTGAAATTTTCTATCTATATTGCTCTTTGAAATTTCTTTCAGTTAATAGTCAAATATATTTAAAATGCTCAGTTCGAATGAATAAATAGAATATTTTAAAACAATTATCTCAAGAGACAATGCAACGCAAACAATTAAAATAAAAGTCTAAAAATTTAAAAATTACCTAAAATAATAACTGTGGCAAAAAGAAAAAAACGTTATAAAGAAAACTATTTGAAAAAAAAAATAATAAATAAATAAATAAACGATGCACCTTAAACTACGCAGTTCGAATAGGTAAATAGAAATTTTTAAAACAGTTATTCGAAAGAACCATGCAACTTAAACAATTAAAATAAAATTCGAAAAAGAAAAAAAAAAATGTTTAAAATAACAACATAAAAAATATAATATAAAGAACATTATTTGAAAGAAAGAAAGCTGTGATTTTTTATCCTCTCACGGGAAAGGAAAATGAGTTGCCATGTATTAAGAAGTTCGCAAAGTGAACTATTCTTGGAGCAATTGAAAAAAAATTACCAATATAAAGTTTTGAATTTCTCCGTAAATTTCGCACCAAATTTTACAAAATTTAGTATTTAGGCATAATTTGAGTCGTAGAATCTAAATATGTAAAAACATTGGTATGTTATTTCAGAAAAAGTCCGATTTTGTGTCAAAATATTTATGTTAGAATATTGCTATATATAAATCTTATATATAAGGATATATATTAGATTTATATGTAGCACTATCGTTGTGTTGCATTGTCACGCTTTCGAGACGTGAAAAACGCAATTTGAATTTTATCAATCGGCCCAGTAGAACAGGAGATATAGAAATGTCCTATTTTTTTTCTCTCCGCAGTGTACACATTTTTTCTCAAATCAGTCGCGGGCTATATCTTTAAACATACAAGTTTTTAGTTAAATACTTTACTCCGTTCAAGTTTTTATCTTTTATACGAATAAAAAAGAAATACATTTAGAAAAGAAACTTACATCTTGGTGTCGGGAGCTTACACTGGAACCTGTGTGCACCAGTCCACTGGCACTGACGGCAGCTAAGGCCATGCAGAAAATTGTCACCTGAAAGGATAACAAGAAATACAATTTATCTTTTCATAGGCATTGTTAAATACAAAATAGATATAATCAAAGAATTTTGAAAAAATATATCGTTTGTATCCAATGTGTTAATGTTTAAAAGAGTGCATGATAAAAATGGTAATTTTTTCACCGTTTTCTTTTTATATTCAGGAAAATCCTATAACCAGTCCTGTCACATAAAGGAAAATATTCTTGAACATAGTTAATTCAACAAACCTTCTAAGTCAACATATTTTCTAATTTTTTTTTCTTTCATCTTTCACCCCTTCATAAAGTATAATGGTGAATGTAAAAAAAAAATTGCTTATGTTGAAAATGTTGAAAACAAATTTCATTGCATTATAACTTTATATATGGATTATTTGCTTGTGTGTTCAAGTGCATACGTTAATACATACGAGTTATCCGCTTAAAACGAAGAAAGCCTTCGTGGGCGTCTTTCTAAAGGAAAGTGGCTTGTATTTACATGTAAACGAAGTAAATCACGGAAACATCTATGTAGCCCTACACATGGACGGTATTTGAAATCACTGTCAAACTATCAGTATTCAGTGGTCTTATCCACATCCCCGTTGACTGGGCAGCTTTCGGCACTGACACTTCACGAAAGTAGGTTTTGCTGCAGAAGCATAATAATAAAATATTCATATCTGGAAAAAAAATTCTTGTAAGCTTCGGTATATATAGAAAAATCATTCTTCAACTTCCTGCTGTGATCTGATTTTACATATTTTCTATGCGAATAAATATGTAGAGTCATTAAGGGCTTTTTTTTTTTTTTTTTTTTTTTTTTTAAAGCAGGAGACGTGAAAAATATGCAGTGCTCTGCGAAGACTCGAACCCTGGACCTCTCACCGTCTATGTTAACTGTTGTAACAGTTATAAACACACGTTTTCGTTTAGAATATGACTAATATTCGTATTACATGACAATCTATAGAGAAAAAATAACTTAAAATAAGAAAATTTAAAGATAAATATTCGGCAGGCAAATTTTTTTTGTTTATGTACCTAAATATGAGTACGTGCTTTTAGATTTCTAAAGGCACAGTACGTAAACTTTAGGTTTGAATTTCCCAAAAAGAAACTGAAAACTATGAGTACATGCTTTTAGATTTCTGAAGGCACTGAAAGGCTCAGTACGTAAACTTTAGGTTTGAATTCCCCAAAAGAAACTGAAAGCTATCCTTTTTTAGGTGGATTATGTATCCTCAGATTTTTCTCCATAAATTCTGCGTAATGATCTGGATAAAATCCCGTAGAATTAATTGCATCAATCATACAATTTTTATAACATCTTTTTTTATTAAAAAGCCTTTAATGATTTTTATTATTCGGTCTGTTATTAACTGCATGCTGTTGTTAAAGGAATATTAAATGTTTTAGAAATATGCTTGTATACTTTTACTGTTTAAATGAGAAGTTTTACATCATATTGAATTTTGATCACAGAAAGTAACTGTGAGTTAATTTAATTATATTTCAAATAATTATATTCTAAAAATTAAATCACTATAGATCTTTTTGTTCTTATGATCTACGATATGTTAATACAACATAGGATTGTCCTTCCTTGTTAGAAAGATTTTTTATTTCTTTTTTATGTACTATTGTTAAGAAACTTGTTTAAACCCTTACTGTGTGTAAGAAACAACACCAAATACTAAAAGTAGTCTGCTATATAATTATTATTACTCATTGAAATTTGTAATAAATTGTTTAAATTTGAAACTTAATTAACTAGATTAATTAATTCGTATTTAGAAAAAGTATTGCTTAACCAAATTCGCGTTTCAAATTAACGTCAAAAGTTGTCGTTCTGATTAAATGAATGCGAAATTCTGTAAATCCCTCTCTGTCAAAAACGATTTGTTAAAATATTTTATACATTTTAACAACTGAGAAACTACTTGCCTTCAGCCGCTGCACTGCCATAAATAACAATATAACAATATCAAACAAAACAAAACAAAACAAAACAAAACAAAACAAAAAATACATGACAAAATTTAAACTTATTGCAAATCTATCGATACAGTAGTTATTTACTGCTGCCTTCTAGTTGCTGCAGATTTGATTGAACTAATTTCAAGATCTTAAAACACTAAATTTCTCTTAACCCCTTCTCCCCCCCCCAGAAAAAAAGAAAAATTCGAGAAAATATTGAAGTTATTTGTTATAGCAACGCACTCAGGGACTCTCTCCTTGAAAGATACACTTTTCTAAAAATTTTTTTTTAAAAAAAGAAATAGCTATTATTCACGTTACATATGGGAAAAATGGCAAAAGCACTATGTAACTAACGTATTCAGTTGTTTGGAATCGAAGTCGGAACGAGCAATGTCAATAGACTCATTCACGCGATCTCTGACAGACCTCGATACACAAAGGAAGAGGCAAATACTGAATGCATGACGCAGTAATGTTTGCATAGATAATACAGAAGTGACTCGAATTATACCTGGGTTGATTTATTGAATATGGCAAAGTACAGGAAAGCTATCTGCCTAAGGGTTAGGATGCCTTCATGGAATGCTTTCTAAGGTAAACTGGCTCGTATTTACGTTGCACATGGGGTAAAACCAGACCGTTCGCATGGGTTCCAACAACCAGTATTCAGCAATCTTTAACCGTTCGGCAACTGATGAAGCCTAGATGTCGCTGGGAAAGAACCATCGCTAAAAGCAGTTCTAAATATTCTGCACTACATTTTGATGTTAGTAAGATTTAAAGTTGGTTACAGCCTATTAGGTTGCTGCTTTAAGAAAGAAATATAACAATATTTGAAAAACATTCTTACCTTGGCGATCATTTCCGTAGGAGTGTTTGTGTCTGCTCAGGAGAAAGTCCAAGCGATTTGTGATGCTGGTATGAGGGTTCGAGCAGACTTATATACTTACCCAATGGCCAACAAAAAGGCCTTGTAGGTACAGGTCCCGCTATAATAGCTTGTCAATAAGTTAAACAACACCATTCATTATTAACAAAGACTTTACAGGGAGAACCATAAAATGGAAGAAAAAAAGAGAGAGAGAAAGAAGGAATTGGCTTGTAAAAAAACTGGGTGGGAATCTAGGTGATATGCGATTAAACACATACGCCACCCGTTACATTTTTGTTGTTTATTTGTGTACATTAGCATTACTTTTCTGATAAATATCTTCTCCAGAATAGCGAGGACAATGGCTGCGAATCCTTCACCTCTGTTACATTTGCTCTCGGAAATGAAGTTAACAGACGACTTCTTGCGCTTGAAAGGGGTTGTCCGAAATTGAAAATATACTCGTTTCGCCAAATTCGAAAGTGAATTTGTCTTCATGTTGATGAAGAAATGTTGTCTTTTGTTGTTGTTGTCGTCGTTATTGTTTTTCTCCACGGCCTAAGGAATCAATTTTATAACATATTTTGGAATTCTGCTGACTGCTACCCGTATGCATTTTTTAATAATATAATTTAAATCATTTATCCAGTAATATATATTTCTTCTGTCTTTTTTAAAGCTTAGAATAAACACGACATTTCCATATTGGCACTAAATTACTGACTTTCTTCAAGGTAGAATCTATAGTATATGGGTATGCCTCTGAGATATAAAAATTATGCAAAACTTAAGCTTACACTGATGCTAGTTTTATAGAAGAACAAACAACATTCCTTCAGAGTTTTTGTTTATCAATGGAAATTTCTTAATACCAAAGATTCTCTCTTCTCGAGCCCATCAGCGGCCGAGCGGTAAAATCTCTGAACAGTGGTTGTTCGGTCGGAGGCTCGAATCGCGCGAACAGGATAGCTGCATAGGCGTTTTCGTGCTTTTCCCAATGTGTAGCGTCTATACCAGCCAGTTTCCTTAAGAAAGTCGCCCACGAAGACATCCCTTCCCTTAGGCAGATAGTCCTGGAGTGCTTTGCCATAGTCAAATAAACCAAAACAAACCAATCTCTCTTCTCGAACGGGTTTGCTGCATGTCGGTTCCTGGAATTTTTACCATATGTAACGCGTATGCGAATACTTGCCATGTCTCACAAAGGCTGCTAAATGCTGATAATTCGATCTTGACTTTAAATCTGGCAACAGACTGGTGCTTGAAATGTTCAAGTTTTTTTCCCAGGTGTAATGAAAATGTAAATTACTTGCCTTTAGAAAGTCTTCCACAAAGGCACTTAACCCTGCCATAATTCCTTAATGCATAAGTATGTCCCGTCTTATAAACGCGCACAGCTACTATAACTTATATAAGCCTTCTGCGAGTTAAGCTAGCTCTCGTTTGAAAATAAGAGTAGTCTTTTTATCGGTCTGCCATTCTATGTGTTTTATAGCATTAATCGTCTTATATTATATGATAACCTGTGTCATAAGAATAGTGCACTATAGCTGCGCACCGAGAGTTATTTCTTTTATAATATCTTAATTATCTATTAAATGCAGCAACCTGAATTCTGTAATTATTGCGTATTGGTACGACTATTTTTACTTCATTACATCGTACGCTTATGCACTGTAAATTTTGAATGTTGCTTTATGATACACTATATAATTGTTATGCTATGTTCCACTTTGCACAATGATTCTAAAACTTTAACTGCTAGGCAATACACATTTTATGTTACCTCCTTACTCCATTATGGCCGTGCTTCAGAATTTCGATTACCTGCATCTTGAAGTTTGACTATCAATCAGTAATCATGTTTTAACAAAAGGCCATGTATGTTTTGCCATTGATTAGACGCCATGTTGAAAAAGCGCATCAGTTACATCTGCTGCTTATAGATGAGAGAAGAGATGGCGTGATTTTAAGAGCAGATCAGGTAATTTGAATACTACAAAGTGCACAAATATTATCTGCTTAAAGAAGGGATGTCTTTGTAGAGGACTTTTTAAGGGAAACTGGATCGTTTTTATACTACGCATGAGAAAACCATGAAAATCAACTCCTTCGCGTCGACGCGAAGAGTCGAAATGATCAGTATTCAATAGTTTTTAACCTCTCGGCTATTGCTGTGATGATTTATAGCAATAAACGCATTTCTTAATAATGATGTTACGAATTTTGTACGTACGTGAATAATTTTAATGAAATCATGTGTGAAATTGCAGGTTTTTTCTTTTTTCTTTAGTGGGGGTTATAATGTAATATAAAAATCTAAAGAGGCGAAGCTTTGCTAGAAAAGTAATACAAAGGCAAGTCTATTTAACATGGAGTAAATGTATTCTTGCTAATTTGCGAGGTATCGCTAAGTTGGCAACGATTTTGGTGACTAATTTTTGTAACAATTTAGCAAGAATTCTTTAAAATCCACAAATTTGGTAACCATTTGGCGACATTTTTGTCCGGTCCATGTAAAACTGTATATTGCGATTGAATAAGTGTAATGAATATATGTATGTAAGTACGCAACAATATAAACGTTTATTTAATTTATTTATTATTGAATTATTTAAGATATATTTAATTTTCAATAAAATCAAATCGTAATTTTTTTCGATGTTTGCAACATTACTGTGGTTAATAAATGATATTTCTAACGCTATGGCAGAGAAAAATACGGATTTTTAATAAAAATTTAAATTAATATTTAATACAAAAACCGTAACGTTGTTTTACGAGCAGTTTATCCATATTTTAAAAATTTCCCATTTTATTTCCTTTCCCGTTATTTTATTGCGTAATGATGCTTGAAGTTCAAAATGACGAAAATAATAGTTACATTAAATAATAATAACCTATTAATTGCGCTTTATAATTAACATGTTGATAATAACAATGTTTAATAATGGAATTAAAATATTTTCCATTAAGTTAGTTCCACAATAAAAATCTATTTCAATTTAAAAGAACTAAAATACATTAAAAAATTCTGAAAGGCTTCAGATTTTAAATTACGTCCAAAGGGAAGGTTTTTTTTACATTTTCTGTGTTACCTTTATTTATTAAATATCAAGTTCTTCGCACTTAAACCATAAAATTCATTTCAACAGCAATAACGCAAAATAATTTTAAATTGACTATAACTTTAGAATTTCCGATACACAGTCTCGCGCGCTGGAGATAAAAATGTGTTTTTCTGTACAACGTTGCTATTGCTCACTTTAAAATCCTTGAGTTTGTTAATCAAAAATTCGTTAAAGTTTTGCAAAATATGAAATCGATAATAAAACAAATTCCGAATTTCAAATTTGGGCTTCCAGATGCAGTAGGATTACGTCATTCGAAATTGGATGGCTCTATGTACCATTGTTTTATCACAATGCGTGAAACCTACATACATTTATGCAGATTCTTCATTATTTAATTCCTTCAAATATAATACAGGACGATAATATTTGGTGGCAACAGTTTGAAAAGTTAAACGGACATTCGACACAAAATAGCAAAACGAAATCAATAGTCCCTCAGGGATAAAGCCCCTTTGTACTAATAATTATGCTTAAACTAATTGAAGTCTTTGTTCTAATCATTTTCAAATGAATTTGTTTTGAAAAGAGATGTCTTATGTTTTATTATAATTATTTTAATTAGCAGAGTTCTAATAGTTTACAACTTCCTAGTCCATTTTTGTATTAGTTATTTACTTAAAAAGACTGACAAGGTCAGAGTTATACACACCATTTGAAAGTAACAGATGGTGGCCCTCAAAAGCAAAGCTTTTCATTTCGAATTTAACCTCTCAAATATAAAAGGTCACATCTTGACAGAGCATAAGCAGAAGCATTTACAAGTGTTTATTAACTATTCCACCTTTTTTATTTTAAACAAAGATTAAGAAACTTGTAACATTATTCACATCAATTGTTTCCGAAAAGAAAATACCACCGCATTCATGTCAGACAAAAACAATGCAGTGGTATTGTATTTTGAACTCAATGACAATCATGTCTGTTAAAGGATTATTTTATTTGACCTGCTGAATCAAATAGACTGAGAATAAAATTCTTCTCCCTTAAAAAAAATAGTCTGATCTGGACAACACATGACTTCCTCTACGGCCTATTAAATTATGCACGTTTTTTGTAGCACCTCCTTTAAACTTATTTTCTCGAATTTCATAAGAGATATATTTCTAATTCAGTTTAATTCAGTTCTCACTTCACTGTAAGGCAAAAATATATATAAAAGCTCAAAACATCTTCAATAAAAATTGTAAAATACAGAAAAGTATAGAACACCAAATACAGTTAAAAACAGTTTAAAAAACAATTTTTGCCATTAAAAATAGTTCTTAGTCCCCCCAACCCAAAAGGCAATTCGACTAACGGACAGAAAGACAACATTTTCGGTGCACAAAAATAAAATTTTTTAGAGATAAAAAATTGATTAAACTGAAAATAGAAATAAAAATTGCATTTTTATTCAATTTTTATTTCTAATAGGTTTTCAGTTTTTAGCTGATAAGGCTCAGATTTGATTTCATTATTTAAAGAAATCTGTATGAAATATTTTTCGTCTTCTTGGTATTAAAAGTTTAGTTTAGCCTAATCGGGAACCACCTAAGTTTTGAGAGAGTTTTTTAAATGACAATTTGGTTTAAAGTATATTTGTTTTACTCTTTATTTATATTTGCTTTTGAATTTCGGATCTGCATATACTAAAGGTTTTAGATCTTTTTTTTTTTAATTGTTATTTTACATAATGTAAAGTTTTAACGTTTTCTTGAGTAGTCATAATGTTAGTTAATGTTTATAACATTATGTTATGTTTTAGTCTTTTTTTCCAAGTGTTTCGAAGGCGTGTAGGGAAAATTTTGGTACATTTGAGATTCAGTTTTTTTATGAATTTTAATGTTTTAAATGGAAATTTAATTGATCCTTTTTTCGGTTTTTGATCTCAAACGAACCAGGAGAACGAAATCCGTTTTCGAAACATATTAATCGACTT